TGTGGGGGGTCTTAATAAATCGATCTAGTGCAAGGGCATACACTCTATGGATCAAAGTAAGCTTTTACATTTCAACTTTAGAACTATTAAGGTATCTGAAAAGTGCTGCGATCCTGATGAATTCTTAAAAACAATTTAATTATATCAATATTTCATGCCGCTGACCAGCAAAAAATATAGCATTCGGTCATACAAGTATAATTTTAACAATGAAATTACAGAATTTAGACAGGATCGCAGCACTTTTTAGAAACTACAATACGTGTTGAAAAATTTTATATACTAAACTTGGAAATTTAACTTGGTTGTGCCCTTGCACTAGTGATATTTATATGTAACATCAATACTTCAAGTCAATGTGCTAAAATCGCCTGACTGCCGCATCACGTGACTAGTCTAAATATAAAATACAATCGTCCTCGATATGTAGTTATTAATCATAATTACAATTATCCAATATAAATAATGTACTAAAAATAATCGCCACCCCGATTACGAATACATTTTTAAATACAAAATTTAGTCGTTATTTCCATTGCGCACCTTAACTGTACTGCGTTACTTATGAATAATATAAGGTGACCTCTGGCCCCCCTACTTATGTACAATATAAGCTGACCTCTGGTCCTTCTGCTTATGAACAATATAAGATGACCTCTGGTCCTACTACTGATGTACAATATTAGGTGTCCTCTGGTCCCCTTATTGATGTTCAATATAAGGTGACCTCTGATCCCTCTACTGATGTACAGCAAAATATTAGGTGACCACTAGTCTCCGTACTCATGAAAAATATCAGATGACGTCTGGTCCCCGTACTGATGTACAATATAAGGTGTCCTCTGGTCCCCCTACTGATGTACAATATAAGGTGAACCCTGGTACAACTGCTGATGATCAATATAAAGTGACCTCTCATCCCCTCACTGATGTACAATATAAGGTGACCTCTAGTCCACTTTCTGGTGTTAAATATAAGGTGTCCTCTGGTCTTGCTACAGATGTACATTACAATATTAGGTGACCACTATTCCCCGTACAATATAAAATGACGTCTGGTCATCCTTCTGATGTCAAATATAAGGTGACCTCTGGTCCCCCTACTGATGTACAATAAAAGGTGACCTAAGGTACCCCTGCTGATGTACAAATGTAACTTCTGGTCATCCTTCTGATGTTTAATCTAAGGTGACCTTTGGTCCCCCTACTTATGTACAATATAAATTGACCTCAGGTTCCCCCTACTGATGTTCAGTATTAGGTGAACTCTGTTTCTCCTACTGATGTACAATATAAGGTGACCTCTCGTCCCCCTACTGATGTACAATATAAGGTGTCCTCCAGTCCCCCTATTGATGTACAATATAAGGTGTCCTCTGGTTCCCTTATTGGTGTACAATATAAGGTGACCTCTGGCCCCTCTACTGATGTACAGTACAATATAAGATGACCACTAGCCCCCTTATTAATGTTAAATATCGGGTGACCTTTGGTCCCCGTAATGATCATAGGCGTAGTCACAGGGGGGGGGGGGGCAGCGGGGGCACTAGCCCCCCCCCACTTTCATTTCGGGGGGGGGGGGGAGAGTATGTCTGTGCCCCCCCCCCCCCACTTTTTAAAAAAGAACAAAATCACAGCTATTATCCCCAACATCACCTTTACTGTAGGAAATATTCATTGAATGGATCCCCCCACTGGATTTGAAAGTAACTTGCCTTTGAAAAAGTTGGCCTCTACCCTCCCCCCCCCCCCCCCCCCCCAAACGGTTTGGGGAACTTTCCCTTTTTTTTTTTTTTTTTTTTTTTGCTTGTCAAAGAATTTCTGGAGTTGAGCCCCCCCCCCCCCAATTTAAGTTTGTGACTACGCCTCTGATGATGTACAAAATAATTGATTGATGTAAAATATTAGGTTACCTCTGGTCACCCATTATTATTTTCACTTTTCACGTTTCTGTAAATATATATATATATATTAGAAAGTTGATCTTTATAAAGTTATAAATATGATTATTTTGGAGTAAGACAAAGAAAATTGTCTATCATATAAAATTCAATTAATATTATATAAGGTGACCTGAGGTCTCTGTATTGATGATATCGATGAATTTACTTTTGTGCCTTTAATGCCTGGAGAGTTCCTAGAATGTTTTATTACTACGCAAAATGACGAACTATTTGCGGGGGACCCCAGGTCCTATTTCAGCGTACGTTTTATCCTTCTGCTGTCAAAATGCAACGACTGATATCGGTGTACTATTTATTCAGATTGTTTGTATTGTTGATTGATTGTGTCAATTTTAACATGTAAAAAAAAATAAATATTTACAATAATGTTCTCATGGGTACGGTTTGTATGTTGCCTTTTTTTTTTGTGAAGTTCGGCTAATGGTTTAACTCATAGAGCTGTTTCATATTATAATGTTCATAATCTTCACATTTGCTGCATTGTGTTTGATTTGGTATATTAAACAATTTATTGCATGATAATGAGGGAGACAAGAAGATTTCTTCTCCCATGAAAAGTCATATTGCCCTCGGGCGTTGCCCTCAGGGAATATGATTTTTCGTGAAGAAGATCTTCCTGTTTCCCTCACTATCATGCAATAAATGTATAATGTCCATGCAATAAATGTATAATGTTCATGTCCATTTAATTTTTTTTTGACTAGGTACATACAAAATAATGCTTTGTAATGTTACAAGTTTATAATGCAATCATCACAATGGATACTATTAAGTAATGCATTACATTACCATTTGATGTAATGCAAATTTTTGGACATTACATATTACTAGCATTACTTTGACTTCATGTAGAGCATTGCATGCATTACCATTATAATTAGCATTACCCTGCCTGCAAAACGTTTTGTCTATCGGGAGCGATTGAACACATCTAAAAAGTGAGGGATATAAGATGCATCAGACACATCTTATCTTATTGGAAATGTTCATTATAAGACCGCCCGTGCCCCAGTTTTTGTTGCAGTATTGTCAATAAAGGGTAATACATTGGTAATGCAGTCTTTAAGTGAAAATTGGGTACTGAAAGAAGTAAGTAAAAACTTACACAAACACAGACCCCCTCCCTCTCTCTCACACACACACACACTCATCCTCACATACACCCTCATAAACCCTCACACTTACACTCACACAATGAATAGAACATATTTTCGAGTTTGAACATTTTTTTTTATTTTTTGTTTGTCCAGGTTTTATCGAGTATAAGTGAAAAAATTTCTGGGGTTGCCCCCCCCCTCCCACCTCCCATCAAAAAGAATGCTACGTCACTAAAATTACTTCTATATTCCGTGAGTTGTGGTACCTTTAAAGTGAAAATCATCGAAGAGAAGTTTGATTATTCTTCATTTGAAATATCCTGTGCACCTGTTAGAAGTATAATAACTTACATATATTAGATTTAATGGCAGAAATCAAGCCTCGAAAGGAAAAAAAACACATGAACATTTGATTTTCAAGGATAAACTGATAGTATGTGAGAGAGGCGTGCATCTTACCTGCCATTTGTAAAAGAAAAAAGACATTTTTCATCCATCTCATTTAATTAAAACCATTCTTTATCCCTTCCATGTGGAGTTAAATAGTCTGATATGTGAAGTACGAAACAGATTTTTTTAAGAGTAAGTGGTTTATCATCCAATTAAAAGTCTGAAACCAATTTGCATCGATTAACTTATGAAATTTAAGATATGTCTTTTTCTTTTTAAAACCAGAGTCATTTAACACATAATGAGAAAGGTCTTATCTTTTTAAAATGGAAAATTCACAAGGAAATAAATAAAGGATTTATCTGATCATACAAAGAGCATTGATAACAAAGGTAAAAATACAACAAATGAAAGACAAAATCTACATGTACGAGTTGTTGTCATCCACGACAACGTCATTGACTAGTATAGCAGCACTGCACGATTTGTGTCACTTACCAAGTTGTATAAAAAGTTATAATTAATTCTACTTTTTCAATGCAAATTTAAAAATGCCCAGATTTATGGTCCCTATCCACATATTAACTTATTTGAAGATTCATTGACAGGTAAAGTCAAAAAGGCATACTAGTACAGATTGTCCCAGAATACATGAAACCATATGCATTGTTGAATCATGAATAGTTTTACCTTAAATTATATATATTAATGTTTGCAGTACTGTACTTTGATTCAATTCAGACCCATACAAGTTAAATTGATGCAAAGCATCAAATAGATTGCAAACAAAATTAAGCATTAAAAAAAATCTTTTACAATTTTTAAAAGCGTCCATGAAAGAAAAGCACGACACGTTATTAAAAGGTGAAATAGTTGAATCATTTAATTCAGTTTTCAAAGCAAAATAAATAACGTTAAAGAATTAAAATAAACATTTACTGCATTTGCTCACAAATAGATCCATCGATGTAAAAAAAAAATACCCATGATCATTCATGAATGATAAGAATTAATTGTCTTTAAAATGAAGATGTAGGACTGTCAAAATGAACCACCTGCTGATACCCTCTTGGTCACGTAATAATGCCAATGGCAGAATAGACTATGCTGCAAGCCGAGGTTCAGAATGTAGAAAAATATATCTTAGTGTCATTGCAGCTGTAGAACATATCCAAAACAATTTTTACTATTGAAAAACATTTCTTTTTTTTGACCATGCACTATTACCACGTCATTATTATCCGGAGGGTCGTGACAATTTCCTTTCATATCTTACATACTCCCAGGCTGGGGAGAATCTATTTAAACTCTTTTTATATGAACAAAAAAATATCAGTTATCATTTCTCAACGTATAAAATAATTTTTATGAAGGCAATCCTATAAAGACTCAAAGACTTATTTTTATTATGTTTTTCGTCTAAAAATCAAAAACGTATATAGTAGAATTGTCTATATAAGAAAAGTATACCTTGATAAATCTATGAATACGCAGGCCTGTAATCGGTTATACATGTAATCCTTTAACTTTTTGATTTCATTCATTTTAGGCAAGTATCAGGAATATCCAGAAGTCGACAGAAGTCTTCTTTACAGTTTACTGTTGTGTGACAAGTACACTGCTACTGTAAATAGGGAGGCGTTCAAGTCAATATTGATTAAGATACGAGAACGGTATTACCAAAGAATATCTCCGTCTGATGATGTTGATGTGACATCCCTTCAAGATGATGTTATGGAAACACAGAATGGTGAGTTAACGTTTATATCAGACGACATCCGACATGACGTCATGTACGCCTTAGTTACGGAGTGTCTAGAGAAGGACAGCGATCTGGAGTTTTTCCTGACCACGGCGTCACGTGACGTGATTTCAGAATACTGCCGATCCTGGGATTATAAGAGATGTGAGGGAGAGAGATGTCTGTATGTACCAAGCTGTCCGGTGAAGATATACGACCTCTTCATACACAAACTACAGCCGGACATCATCTCACACTGTACCGTGTCTGACTGGGGGATTCATGACAGAATCAGTGAACGTTGTAAGTACTGATCATGTGTCTGTCATTTAATTATTAATGATTGATGAATAATCATAATTATTAATTAGGGATGTCAATTTTACTCGGACAGCTTAGTCGAATAGTCGGAAGCTTTAGTCGAACGATAGTCGATTATTCGTTTAAATTTAATTTTTTTTTTCATATCATTTTCACTGTTTGTCTTTTTCTGACTAGTTTACAACATTTAATCAATGATATCACCATTTTATAACGGATTTCTGAATTGTTAACATGTGCGTAGTAAAATAAAAACTGTACAGCAATATGTACATGTACCCAGTGTATTTAATTTCAAAATTAATATATTAGCATTCTATTTAAATGCAAAATATTAAACGCTCTTATTTGCCCTTTCTTTACATAACGGTAGTACATGTACCCCATAATTGAAGCCAATTTCTACGTGTGCGTCAGTGATCTTTGACAGATAAACAATTAAAGAGTGTCTCTTATAAAAACAAAGAGAGGGAGCGAGGGCTTGTATAAATTTTAATTATGAAATTTTGTGCAAACAATCAATGATTGTATGAATTAATATCAGAAAAAGAAAACACGGTTTAAATACTCTCATAACTGACCCCAGTTGACATGTATTTACAATTTTGTAATAGCTGTTTAATCAGAATTCTTTCTGATTTAAAACAGTAAGAGGTATACAATCATTAATAATCATGTTTGTTATTTTTTCTTTCCCACTCTGCTTTTTTTTGTCATTTTTGCGAAGAACTTACATTAGGAAAATTTTTGTTTGATGTTACACTGCGCTGCAGAATAATAGTTCAGATTCACATAATCTTAATAACATTGTTTTCCTTTTTTAAGCTATATAAAACTGTAGATTTTCAAGACATGTTTGTCGAACATATATTGACGTATAAACTTTGAACAGTTATACCCATACCCTTAATTTTACATATGAAAATATTGATCTGTAAATAAATGAAATGGGTAAATATAAGTTTATTGCCTTGAATTCAAAATTACTTTGATGAAACACATTTTTAACGAATAACCGACTAGAGAAATTTTAGTCGATAGTCGGTATGATCGAACGATAGTCGAGTACTCGAATATTCGTTGAAATCCCTATTATTAATCTAAGATTCAGAAATCAAGTATTGTTTCAAACAAGAATTTCTTATGATTGTACAGTATTGTAATTAAAATTATAATTCTGTAATATAATCTATTGCATGGTGAGAAAAAAAGATAAAACGTACAAATTTTAATGAGCTTGAGATCTTTCAATCTTTTGAATTGATGCATGATAGAGCATGTTTATTCATCTTATTCTTCTACAACTTTAAAATATTGTGTATGTTTATAAACACATGATAAAGAAAGGAAAGAAATAATTTGAATACATATTTTTTCTTCAATGTATGTGAAGATCTATTTTGAGTATTTGCACAATTATTTATCATTGAATGTGATATGGACAGTGAAAGTACCACGGGAAATATTGGAATGGGACCAGAAAGCCAGGGAGCGGTACTTTCAGTACGCCGAGAGAGGGGGAGTACAGGAAGTCCATCACGCCCGGGGGATGATTGTAGGATGTGCTGGAGCGGGGAAAACAACACTGCTGAATCGACTACTCAAGCGAAGTCAGAAGGAAATAAAGAAGATAAAATCAACGAAAGGACTTGAGGTTCACGAGGAAATATTTGAAATCCGTGAAAAGCGAGGAACATTAATAAAAGGTAGGAAAATAAAAGAAATATATTTAACAATTTAAATTCAAAATTAAATGGGTCTATGGCTGCAGTTATTTTTTCATTTTATGCTTTTTACAATTTTTTATTTGAAATTCCTGAAAATTGATAATGTTAAAAATCAGTCCACTGAAAAATCAGGCAATGATCATGAGTGGCACATCGCATGTCATTGATTTAAATTATATTTTTGCATGCGAGCTAATTAAAACACGTAATTACACCTAACATCATCATAATTCTCCACCATGAATATGGCTGAGGCATAAAGTGTTTGTTGTCCGTCTTCTCGCCTTGTTTCCTTCCATCCTTCCGTCTGTCCTTCCATCACACTTTGTGTTTAGCTCTGTTCAAAGCTCAGTTTCAAAGAAATTATCCAAGATGTTTTCATCAAACTTCGTATGCTGATAGATACATGTACTGATGAGAGATATACAATGGCATCAACATTTTTTACCTTTCCTTTGACATTAACCTCGCTTTTCTTAAATTAATGTTTAGCGCAGTTTTAAACATACCATTCAAGATATTGTTATGAAACATCACATGTTGGATACATACTGATGAGAGCTATTCAAATGCATTACCATTTTGACCTAGACCTTTCCTTTGACCTTGAATTATCTTAAATTTGTGTTTAGCTCAGTTTTACCATTCAAGATATTTTTTATCAAACTTCATATGCTGTTACATACTGATGAAAGCAAATTCAACTGCATCAACATTTTTGGCCTTGACCTTTCTTTTGACTTTGACCTTACTTTTTCTTAATCAGTGTCAAACTTCATTTGCTGATACATACTGATGTAAGCAATTGAACAGGGTTAACATGTTTGACCATTACCTTTTAATTGACATTGACCTCACTTTTATCAAATTGTGTTTAAGTCAGTTCTAATCAAAGAAATCATTTTTAATATTTTTATCAAACTTCATATGTAGATGAAGTTACATATTGATGAGAGATATGCAACTGCATCAACATTTTTGACCTTGACCTTTCTTTTGACCATGACCTTACTTTTCCCATTCAGTGTCAAACTTAATACGCTGATACATACTGATGTAAGCAATTCATCTGCATCAATATATTTTTGACCTTGACCTTTATATGACCTTGACCTCACTTTTATCAAATTGTGTTTAAGTCAGTTTAAATTAAAAACATCATTCTAGATATTTTTTTATCAAATTTCATATGTTGATACATATTAATGAGAGATATGCAACTGCATCAACGTTTTTTTTACCTTGATATTTCCTTTGACATTGACCTCACTTTTCCTGGATTAGTGTCAACTTCATAAGCTGATATGCATATTGATGTAAGCAATTCAACTATTTCACTATTCAGGATATACATATACTGATAAAATTTCTTACACAAATTTTCATGTTGCATTAATAAATACCCCGGGGGAGGGGGGGGGGGGGCATACATATCCTTTGGACATATTTCTAGTTTTTGTAGTCTTCCTGTATTCGTAATTTCTGTAAATAATTAATTTTAAGTGTATAAAAAACATAACGTGCAAAAAAAATGTGTTTGTGAAATACTGATGCCCCCGTATGGCAACATAGCAAATATTAAGCTTTTCTTAAATGCAAATTTAACTAAATAGTACCAAAAGTAGGGTATTCTCACTGGAAAAAAATTGTGAAATTTAAAAGTAACCAAATGTTAAAGTTATTTTTAAATAAGTACAAAAATCTCCAAGGTCAAGGTCAAAAGGTCAATGTAATTTGTATCAAATGAAATGTCTTGCCACATAGAATACGTATGTTGAGCATGAAAGCCCTAGTCCTAACCATTCAGAAGTTATGGCCAACGTTCATTTTTTTTTAAAAGTAGGTCAAACGTTCTTGTTATCAAATGAAAGGTCTTGTCATAAGAATCAAATGTGTAAAATATGAAAGCACTAGCCCTAACTCTTTAAAAGTTATGGTCAAGGTTTGCTTTTTTAAAGTAGGTCAATCTCAAAGGTCAGAGGGTCTAAGTTCTTGGTAACCAACTAAGGGTCTTCTCACAAGGATTACATATATGAAGTATGAAAGCCCTATTACTTACCCTTCAAAAGTTATGGCAAAGGTTAAAGTTTTTTCACAAGTACGGAAATCTCCAAGGTCAAGGTCAAAAGGTCAAGGTTGTTAGTATTCAATGAAAGGTCTTTCAACAAAGAATACATATGTGAAGTATAAATGTCCTGGTATCTACTGTTCAAAAGATATGGCCAAAGTAAAAGTTTAAAATTTTCATGTAAAAGTGGGTCAAACTCCAAGGTCAAGGTCAAAAGGTCAAATTTGGTGGTACACCAACTAAGGGTCTTCTCACAAGGATTATATATATGAAGTATGAAAGTCCTATTACTTATCGTTCAAAAATATGGCCAAGGTTAAAGTTTTTTCACAAGTACGGAAATCTACAAGGTCAAGGTCAAAGGGCAAGGTTGTTGGTATCCAATGAAAGGTCTTTTAACAAACATTACATATGTGAAGTATAAATGTCCTGGTATCTACTGTTCAAAAGATATGGCCAAAGTAAAAGTTTAAAATTTTCATGTAAAAGTGGGTCAAACTCCAAGGACAAGGTCAAAAGGTCAAATTTGGTGGTACCCTAAGAAAGGTCTTGTCACAAGGAATATACATATGAAATATGAAAGTCATAGCTCCACCAAATCAAAAGTTATGGACAAGGTTAAAGTTTTTGTGGACAAACAGACAAACAGGGAGACAGACAGACAGACAGACAGACAGACAGACAGACAGACAGACAGACAGACGGACACGACAAAAACTATATACCCCCGAAACTTCGTTACGGGGGCATTAAAAAAATAAATAAAAAAATAATGTTTTGATCAATGAAGAATATGGAGATAACGAAAAGTATTCAATCTCAAAGTCCATAAAACAATACCAAATAGGAGCGGAGCAAACACAGATCTCCAAAACATCAGAGAAGGGATCAGGTGCGATTGCAAAAACCTTTGTCTTTTATCATATTTATAAAGAACATGATTTTTGTGTGTCTCTGATGAGACTTTAATTTATCTTTTGAATTCAATATCCGATTTTCACTAGGTTATAATATCCAAAACAATTCAATGACGAAAAAGTCTCATGTATATTATGAATACAAAGTTCAAACTATTGAATCAATCAATAAAGTTGATGGAAACATGTATATTGAGATAAAGAGTCATGTTGAGCTATTTCTTTCATACTTTCCCAAATTAAACAGATCCCGACCGGAATTATATACAGAAGAAAACCATCAAATGTTATCGTTAAATTTGGCTCTTTTTTATATAATTGGTTTTAAAATTACATTTATTTTTCATATACATGTATATATGTCGCATTGGTGACATTTGTCTTTACTTTAATTAGGTAATAAATTTTGCATTTATTTTGATTGAGATCGATTTTAATTTAATCAGAATTGGTTTATACTTTCAAATCTAAGTAAAATTATCATTATTCTTTACATAACTGGTATGACGTTGAAAACTTTCAATAAATAAGATAACTTAAAACAGAAAACAACCAGAAATTTTTAAGTATAGTAAAACGTATGAGAGAGAAACAATTTTCATACTTTTGAAAAATCAAAATACCACCCCACCCCCCTTTCCTTAAGATAAGTGATATGCTTTAAGTCTGTGGTATTTTTAGAATCATCTCTCTATTTTTTCCTTAAAGATCCATTTGCCTTTTATAACATTTATCAAATCCTAAAATATTTAAAACGTCATTATCTCAGGTCCTGAATTCGAAGTGACCTTATCATAAAAAAAGTTATCAAACCAGGTCAATTATTTATCATACCAATTATTTGTAAGAATATTGAGCTTTATTTTTTTTAAAGTGCGTTAATTTGATCGATATTAACACTCTTTGAAGCGAAGTTAAAATTTTCACAAAGTGCGTTAGGTTGCTCTCAAATTTAGTGCAATTTGAGAAAATTTTTCAAAGTGCGTAATTTTTCAAAATGCGTTGTTACACAGCCCCTCCTTCTAGAATCACATAGTCATCTCTTGAAAAAAAATTGTATGTCTTCTATGAATTTAACAGTCTCCTGAATATTTTATTATAGGCTGTAAACTCATATCAATATAAATTTCAACCAAAATGTATTTGGAAATTGAAATAATTTGTCTATTGTTGTTGGTATCCTGTGAAAGGTATTGCAACAAAGAATACATATATAGAGTATAAAATTCCTTATACCTACAAGTTAAAAGATAAAACCAAAGTAAATGTTAGAATTTTGTGTAAAAGTGGGTCAAAATCCAAGGTTAAGGTCAAATTTGAAGTACCTCAAGGGAGGTTTTGTCACAAGGAACACACATTTAGAAGTCATACATGTAGCTCCAGACCACTAAATCAAAAGTTATGGGGCAAGGATGAAGTTTTTGTGGACAAACAGACAAAGAGACAGACAGATGAACGAACGGACACGACAAAAACTATATTCCCCGAAAATTCTTTTACGGGGGTATAAAAAGTAAGTTTTAACATACATTTTTTTCATTAAAATAGAGCACAAAAATGATAGTACGATAAAAATATAGGGAAGGCGGTGTCTTGGCATCATGACACTTTTAGCTCACCTGAGCTTTTCTGATCAGCCGTTGTCCGTCTTCCGTCGTACGTACGTCCCTATATCCGTCCGTCTGTAAAATTTTAAGGTTTACAACTTCTACTCAGGATCCACTGGGCCAATTCTAACCAAACCTGGTACAAAGCATCCTTAAGGTGAAGGGAAGTTTAAATTGATAAATAAAAGGGCTCTTGCAAGGGGGTTAATTAAAAGACATACATAGGATGGGGTCATTAAAAATATTTTCAAAAAGCACTGGGTCACAAAAGCTTAAACTTTTTGTCGAAGAATTCTATGATATTGTAAACTCTAAATTGTTTATATCATGGCCCATTGGGTGAAGGGCTAGGCCACAATAGGGAATCCAATTATAAATTGTTATACATTTGTATATAGGCAAAGTCTTTAAAATATCTTCTCAAGGAGCACTGGACCACAACAACTGCCACTATGTGGAAGCATCCTGGGGTAGTCAAAATTCCACATTCTCCATATTTTGACTCGTATGGGGTCAAACTCCAAAGATAAAGGTCAAAAGGTCAAAATTGTTTGTATCAAAAGAAAGATCTTGTCACAAAGAATACACATGTGAAATAAAACAGGCCTAGTGCTACATGTAACTGGTCAAAATATTTGATTAGGTTATATGTTTTTAAGTGGGTCAAACTCTGAGGTCAAGTTCAATAGGTCAAAAAAGTCTGTAACAATGGAAAGGTCATATCATAATAAACACTCCTTTCAAAACCTTACCCTTTACAGTGGAAGAATTATGGGCTAGGTTACTGTTGACAACTGATTTAAAGCTCTTCTCGAACATATTGTTGCACAAAACTCTTCAAGTTTCTCCTTCACTACTGTTTCTGTCGTTGTAAGGAGTAAAGAAAGAAGCTTGGTTGAGCATTTATTGGAACCTGCTATGTATCTTGTTTGTAAGGATTCTTATGAAGTTTCGGAATCCAATGTATGGTAGTTCAAATTCAATTTGGAACTTTGAGATATTAAAAATATTAAAAACCAACATATGACTTTTAAAAATTTCTTCTTTAAAAGGGAACTATAATATGGGTAGTATAAGTTAGAATACCATGTGTAGAAGTAGATTCAAGTTCTTTTAAAACATAATTTACACTGTATATAATGAACTTTACACAGGAAGACAATGTTGATACCTGCTTTGTCAGACGGGACCAGTAGGTACTGATCTTATTTATAACTTCTGGATCATTGAATTCGGAAGGATAGATGTTTTTTTTTATTGTACCTCAGTCTTTGAATACGTGATTTTAATATGGATCTGAGAATATTTTATTTATTCTGACAAAGTGTCAACGTCTTCTTTTTCATATCTGGCCCATCGCCTGGTGTAATCTTCAATAGAATCCATAATATTTATAAGATTCCGACGCCATTTGAAGCATCAGGATCCCCTATATTTTAGACCTATAAAAATCAATGATCGTTAAATATTTTCGATTTAGATTTTTGGCTGAACAACAAATACATAGAGCTGCAAAATGAGCAAAAATACATACTTTGTGATAGTGTAATGATCTGTCTTGTAATATCAGGACTTGTTAGACTTTATTTATTATAGAATGATGTGAACTGTGGAACGATTTAAGCAAACAGATTTACATCTCCCAAATAAATTTTGTAATTCTATCGGTGAATTGGACATAAGCATGATGCTGTCAATGATAATTAATTAAGTGCATATTAAGGGGGGGGGGGGGGCTATGTCGTTCTACATCAAAACAGCGTTATGTGACGTAACAATAACAACGTTTAATTGGTTTACCTGTTGACTTTTTGCTGCTATGATATAGGCATAACATTGTTCATAATCAATAACGTACACAATTTACAAAAAAAAAAATATTTTAATAACAGTTTTATTTTATTTATCTAATTATTAGTTTGTTAATATTAGAATTCTCTTCCTTTGGTTGATAATTCATAGCAATTTCAGTTGTGAAGAAACACGATGATATGCTGATATATAAGTGCAAAAATATAAGATAAAATTCAGCAAAGAAAGCGGCTTTAATCAGGAAAATATGTTAAATATGTTTACCATTAATTGTTTTTTTTATGGATAAAAACTAAAAAAAAAAAAAAAAATTATGAAACTTACTTGTGCCTATTTTTATTGATTTATAGTACATGTAGATTTAATTGTATCAAGTCATTCCTAGGTTCAAATAGGTGTGTTTGTTGACGGGGAAATGGGGAGGGGGAGGACAGAAGAAAACGTCATATTTCTCGTTTATTTAATCATAAAGGTATACATTTTTCTTTGTTAAAATAAAGAAATGAATTTTTTCTTTCAAAAAATATGAATTATAACACAAAGACTTTTTTAAGAAATTACCTGTAAAGCATGTCGGAATTGTAAAAAAAATACGACAAGAAAAACGGGGTGATACTCACATTGAGCTCACATATAATTTTTCATGCGAGATGAAATACAATGAATTTGCCTTCGTTTTAAAGGTACAAGTCATATATATTAGATACATGTTGATTTTGAATGTGATTTGACATTTTTGGTTCTTTTTAGCCCATATTTGTGGTAGAACAATAAAGTCTGAAAATAATCTATTTATAACATTTCACACTGTTTTTGCACGTGCTCCTGTGTAAAAATAAGCATATAAAGGTATCGTTTTTAATACCTAAAATTAAGAGCAAGTGGTCATGAAAGAAATGTCAAGTTTTGAAAACTTCACACAAAGACTTTTCGGACTTAGGTCCCCCCTTAAATGTGGGGAAAAAGTTTTATGCTGATTGAACTTTTAACCTAGACTTAGTGCTACATGTATATGCATATTTTTATTTTATTTCTGTATTAATATTTTGGTATAAATAATTTCAAAAGCCCATTTTCTTTTACTTAGAAAACATTGAATTGCAGCACAGGTAAATTCCGGATATGAAAACAAAATAATGAAATAAAGAAATGTTGGAAATGCTATGCATATTTCCGGAAATGAAATGAAGCAGCAATTTTATATCCTTTAACTGCTTCAGGCTAGTTCCTAGTCAGCTGTGTGCGTTGTAGCGAGACGTGATTTCTTACATGTAGGTTTTAGTTTTCACAGTTCTGCTGCATTTAATAAACAAAGGAACTTACATGTATCACTTTTTGAAGATTAGGTATAAAAAGTAAGATTTTATGTTGGATTAGGTGGCTTTTTTCAGCAAATAATCATTTATATACACATAGATACTTTATACATGTAAACAGTGATTACTGAATACTTGTTAGAATTAATATAGGATAGGTATATTCTCTTTTTTCCCATTATAAATAAGACTTTTCCATAAATATTTGAAGGAAACAATGGAAATTTTTAAGTTCATTTCATCTTATTTCCCCGTTAATTGTATTTTCTATAATTCAGCTATTTTAATACATTTTTTAAAAATTTTAATCTACTTATTCAATCATTTAAAATCAATACATTAAAGCGGGTATCCTTTTGTAAAATCCATATATTTGTATAAAATTAAAATAAATCATTCTGACCATTAGCCCAAAACATATATTGTTATTTGCAAGAGGGAATAGTTGGAATTGAGATTTTTAAAAAGTGGGAATAGGTAGAAGACACCCTGTATACATTTAATACACAAAGGAGCTAGTCATACACTCTGTTGTATGATAAATCTAAACAAATTGATTTTCGCCACTTTTGAAAAAAAAAATATCATAGCAGCTCGAGTCCTAGGTAACCCTAGCCACTTGTACATATAGCCGTCCCAGTTAAATCGAGGATTTAATTTGCTATTTATCATCCTACTTTGAGAGCTTGAACCATTGTAAATGTCCTTAACAGATAAGTATAAAATTAAAGATTTTTTTTTTGTAAATTATCAAACATTTTTGTGTTGTCACTCCCTAATGTGGCAAAATATTGAAAATGCTAACTAAAAAAATGATTATTTTCTGTTTTTGCTATTTAATTTTTTTTCTCCTTTTCATTTGCCATTAATGAAAGTTTTAACTATTTCTTATGATTTTTCTTCTTGTGTTGTAAATTTTAGTTTGTTTCACGAACGAAATCTCGGTAAGACTTGATTAATGAACAATTAAAATATGGCCCATCAATTGCTTTTTAAGAAGATGTTTTATTCTTGTCTATTATATAGTAAATAAATAGTTTGCACATTTAAGTATAATTTCCCTTACTTGACGGTGTGGAAGTAAAAACATAAAATTACATAGGATGTCCTCTGGATTTGAAACTTATCCCTTGCAATTGAAACATGGCTATTTTCTTAAATTTAAATTCTTATTTTTTTAGCTAAGAAACACATCAAGAGATCAAATAAAGATGCCCGGAAAACGTTGAGTTTCTTTGACTTTGGGGGCCAGTGTGCGTATTACGCCTGTCACCAGATTTACCTGACCAGGAGAGCTTTCTATGTTGTTGTGGTGGATGCCTCTAAACGTCTTGACCAGAAGGTGGATAAGGAAGTGTGCGACCAGGAAGAAACTGTATTTGTAAACTGGACTTATAAAGGTATTCAATTCGTTAAAATGTGACAAATAACAGGACGTTTTTTTTCAAATCAAATTTAAAAATGTAAAGTATCTTAAAGGAGAAACTTGAGAACTGTGCAACAATATATATATCTTCAAGATTTGGTTCAAATCAGATGCGGATACAAAATATTCCAAGGAACTTTTGGATTGTTTTAAATCACAAGATTTTATCAAAAACAACAGCTGTAAAAAATACGATTTTTTAATTTATATACACAACCATTCCCCAAGATAAATTAAATTTAAGGCTTTTTGAAATCATTGACAGCTGCTTTTTCAATAAAAAGGAACTCGTAAAGAGCAAGAGCCATCTTATGCATAAAATGGCCCTGTACTTATATCAATTAATTAACTATCACCCTCTTTCCATTTTCATATATCAAAATAAAGTAGACACTTGGTGCTTTCATGTTCTATAATGAAATATCGTTTTGAGAATCTAAATATTTGAAAACAGGCTTTGAGAAATTGCAATGTTCTTGAAATTTGCAGAAAATATGCTTATTTGACTACCTTCAGCAAAGAATTAAAATATGAGCACAGCCCACGATCCAAAAAATAAAACATGTTTTTTGATCTTCAGAAATAGGCCTTTCATTATGTATTGGCATATTTTGGATCAGAGGTTGTGCTCTATATGAATTATTGAAAAAATGCTTCAACTTTAGGTCATTTTCAAAGGAATTTACAGGATATGAGGAAAATGACGCATTTTATGACGTCATAATGCATTGACTAGATGTGAAATTACGTCACAATTAAAATATACGTGGTCACCAACAGTCCAAGTGATAAATACTGCATTTGCAACCTAAATTGAGCACTTTTGAATTTTCAGAAATTCTCAGGGCCAAATAAGGCCCAAAGTGGCTCTACCTCTTTGTTTACCTTTTCAATGGTCATTTGCAAAATTATTTTTTGTTAAAGTAATATACGCTATAACGTGCCCCATTTTAAAATACGGCTGGAAATTTATATATTTTGTTTACCAATAAAAGTTACGAAAATGCTGTAAATTACACCATTTAAATAAAATTCGTTATAAAGTTATCAAATTATAATTATTTATTATCCTGCAAGGAGAATAATGTCTATTTTTAAGTAAATCCACCACGTGACGCCGTCGCTACTTTTAGATTGATAAACAAACACGGTGTCAAGAAAACGAGGTAAGCCCTTTGAGATACAACTCACTTTTGACATGGATGGCGTGTTACTATTAATATAACTTATCTTTAAATGTAATCAGTATCAAAAATCTATACTCTGTTATGACGCATATTAACCTTTTATTAATAATCGTTGTCAAAAGGCAACGTGCCTAACGGTCTATAATTTCCCGTGGACATACGTGTCTATATTTAGACCTACTGTTTACGCACTTCCTTTATCAATATTCATAAAAAGACTGAATTCTTGATTGCAGATATTGCTTTATTGTTGTGTTATTACAACGAGTTTTATAGTTAAATTTTGTGGAAATATTATTTTTTCATTACACTTTATGTGTTTCAAATCATTTAATCATTTTGTTTCACATACAAATCGGCATCCATACGGCGTATATTACTTTAAAAAGCGTTCTATTTGTACACAGAACTACTCTGAAATTGACATAAAAAAGATGCTTAAGTTTCTCATTAACAATATCTATGTGGTTTACGGGGACCAGGTCTACCAACTATCTATGTGATTCCCATTGGTATCTATTGTGCCACGTTATTAGCAGACCCATTTGTTGTATTCATTTGAATCAGAGTTTGTGAAAACTGAAAAATCATATACATGAAAAGAAAAAAACACACTTTCTGTGCTGTTTAGGCCCTTGAGTCGGATGTTCTTTTAAATAATGGGTCATTAGGTCAGGTAGGGCTGAAAAAAGGCACCAATGTAATTTTCTTTTGACAATTTGCAAATGAACAATACACGTAAACTTTGAATCAAGTAGTAATCGTGGTACATGTAAAAATATACGTCTTTTTTCTGCCCCTGTAAACGAGGTTTCGGGGGTATATATTTTTTGTCGTGTCCGTCCGTCTGTCTCTCTGTCTTTCTCTCTGTTTGTCCACAAAAACTTTAACCTTGCCCATAATTTTATTCAACAGTATTCAATCTCAAAGTCCATTAACCAATATACAAAATAAGAGCAGAGCAGACACGGACCTCCGAAACATCAGAGGTGGGATCAGGTGCCATGGAGAAGTGAGCATCCCCTGCTGACCGGTCACACCCGCCGTGTGATCGTTGTCATGATCAGGAAATAACGGGAAAAAAAATCCGTAAGTCAGCATTTGACTCAATGATAAATTGCATTTTCTGACAAGGTCGTTGTATCGACCATAGAACTTAGGAAATGATGGCTTTAAATGAGACTGCTGATATTCTTGTTTCATCAACTTGCTCGTCAATAATTTACATCGTTTAAGAAATTGTTCATACGTAGAACATGCTCTTGCGTATCGAATCAACTGAGATATATATACTCCGTATGCAGGTGATGAAGGCATATTGCTGCATTAATAAGGGAAGTTGACGATAGAAAAGCTAAAGTCGTCACGTTTATCATATAGCTTGGTTGTTTGATTATCATTAGTGTCTTTTTCAATTAAAATATGCAAGTATGAAGTAGAAGTGTCGGACTCTGTGGTATCTTTTATTTCAAGCTCACTGGGATATATCGTATCGACGTAGGAATGGAAATTATCATTATTATACGTCGTCGATATATCTAAAAGTTGAGTTGAAGGCCACAGCAAGTGCTTTCTTCTTATCACACACATAAGATTTTGCTTAAATTTTGCTTCACATGAAAATAAAAATAAGTCTGCTAATAACGTTGCGAAATTTGTACCCATTGGAATTCTGATATATTGTTGGAATACCTGGTCTCCAAAAAACACATAGATGTTGTCAGTCAAAAACTCAAGCATCTTCTTGCTGTCAACTTCAGAGTACTTATGTGTGCAATCAGAATCTGTTTTAACAAAATAATTTTGCAAATGACCAATGACGAAGTAAGTAAATTTACGAGTTCCATTTTTATTGAAGAAGCAGCTGCAATGATATCAAAAAGCCTGGATTTTAATTTGTCGTGAATACTAATTACCTTGACCTTTTAACCCTGACCTTGGAATTTTTTGACAGCTGCTTCTTCAACAAAAATGGAACTCGTAAATTTACTTACCTCGTCATTGGTCATTTGAAAAATTATTTTGTTAAAACAGATTCTGATTGCACACATAAGTACTCTGAAGTTGACATCAAGAAGATGCTTGAGTTTCTGATTGACAATATCTATGTGGTTTTTGGAGACCAGGTATTCCAACAATCTATTGGAATTCCCATGGGTACAAATTGCGCTCCGTTATTAGCAGACTTATTTTTATATTCATATGAAGCAGAATTTATGCAAAATCTTATGCGTGAAAAGAAGAAAACACTTGCTGTGGCCTTCAACTCGACATTTAGATATATCGATGACGTATTGTCAATTAATAATGATAATTTCCATTCCTACGTCGACACGATATATCCTGGTGAGCTTGAGATAAAAGATACCACAGAGTCCGACACTTCTGCTTCATACTTGGATATTTTACTTGAAAAAGACACTAATGGTAATCTAACAACCAAGCTATATGATAAACGTGATGACTTTAACTTTTCTATGTCAACTTCCCTTACTTATGCAGCAATATACCTTCATCACCTGCATACGGAGTATATATATCTCAGTTGATTCGATACGCAAGAGCATGTTCTACGTATGACCAATTTCTTAAACGAGGTAAATTATTGACAAGCAAGTTGATGAAACAAGAATATCAACAGTCTCGTTTAAAGTCATCATTTCGTAAATTCTATGGTCGATACAATGACCTTGTCAGCAAATACAATTTATCATTGAATGAAATGCTGACTGACGTTTTTCATACCAATTGTTAGTCCATTACTTATACACTGAATTGACGACGGATTTTTTCCGTTATTTCCTGATTATGACAACGAGCACACGGCGGGTGTGACCGGTCGGCAGGGGATGCTCACTCCTCCATGGCACCTGATCCCACCTCTGATGTTTCGGAGGTCCGTGTTTGCTCTGCTCTTATTTTGTATATTGTTCAATGGACATTGAGATTGAATACTGTTCGTTATTGCCATATCCTTCTTGTACTTATTGAAAAAACTTTAACTTTTGCCCACTTTCAAATTTCACAATTGTTTTCCAGTGAGAATACCCTACCCAAGCTACCAATTATTAATAATTAATTTTGCATTTAAGAAAAGTTTAATCTTTGCTATAATGCCATATGGGCACATCATTGTTTCACAAACAAATATTGTTTCCTTAGAAGTTGATATAGACGAAAGCGTACATACTTTAGATAAATAAAATCAAATTATAAAAACAATTATGAAATTCATTTGCAATAAGCATATAAAGAATTACCTTTGTGGTTTTCTGATAATTTACCTGTTGGTGTGATTTAAAAAGTAAAGAACATTTTTTTTTCTGCTTACAGATTACTTTCTTTTTTGGATGAAATCCATTCACACATACTGTCATGGGAATTTATATAAAGACAAAGACAGTGACGTTATTATCATGCTTGTTGCAACACACTGGGAAAAACGTGCTTACAAGGTACATGTAAAACAACTTCAGATAGTTTTCTTTGCAAGATATTTTTAAAACAAAAGGTTTCTGTGCATTGATTTGCATTGTTCCAAATTGGTACTTGAGTATGTTCAGTAAATGCACATGGAGAAAAAGAGCTATTCAGAGAATCCTCACATTTTCGGGAGATTTACGTCATTAAGTGTACATTTTCATTGCTGCATCTGAATTTAATTACCTTTTAATGATCTTTCTGTTATATTGAGATCTGAAACTGTGAATTTTACTTGTATTATTGCACGCAAATTATGCTCAAACATTGACTTCAATACCAATTTTTATTCTTACTTTCTTAATTAAATAAGGTAATTTATACATCTTTCTGACATTTGTTCTTGCAGGATAAAGCTGATTTCCTTGATAGTTTGCAGAGGATATTGCCAGCGAATTCTAACCTTGTCCAGTACATCAGAAAAGACAGGTGTTTCTGTACAAATTTATTAAAAGACAAAATTAATGTCCTTGAACAAGCCATCGTAAACATAGCGGCAGAAAAAAAGTGGAGTGAAAAAATTCCTTCAGAATGGATTTCATCTGACACATTTCAGAAACAGAAATGTAGACGTGTTATGAATCTTGAGGAAATAAAAAATCTTTTTAAGCATCTTGAAGATGAAAAACAAGTGCATGATTTGGCAAATGACATGTTAAGATATTACCACGATGCTGGAAAAGTAATTCACTTTGATGAAGATTATCTTAGGAGCTCTGTGATAATTGATGTCCAATGGTTTGTAAATGCATTTAAACTAATTATCACAGACAGGCTTCATGTGAAGGGTATTGTTGCTGAGAGACAAGATTGGGAGGAATTCTACAAAACAGGGAATTTAAAAGATTCCCTTCTCAGTGATATATGGAAACTAGAAGATAAAAGACTTTTGGATACCATTAAAGATTCAACTTCATCAGAAATCGTAAACTTTGTTGAAGATTCTCGCTTTTTAATGCACCACAAAGAAGAATTATTGTTGTACTTGCAGAGATTGGGTTTGATTTCCAGTGAAGGTCAATTACATTATGTTCCTTCAATGAATAAAAGGGACTTTGGAGGAAAACAAAAAGAGATTATCAACCGGTCAAATTCAAAGTCATCAGTACTTGTGTACTTGTTCGACTTTTTGCCATATTTTTTCTTTTATCGTTTAGTCGTGGCATTGATGCAAATCGAAAATTGGAAAGTTCTGGAAATTGACGGCATCAGTTGTTTGTACAAAGATGCCGCTATGTTCAATCACAAAAGTCATAATATTGCCATCAGCGTCACTCCATCTACAATTCAGCTTCAAATCTTTCATTCCCTCCCTCAGACGGCAATGCACCATGAAGTGACTTTATCTATACGAGAAAAAGTTGAATCCATATTGCAGAGTATTACCAGATCTTTTCACAAAAGCCTTGCTTATAAAATGGGATATCTTTGCGATGGAGATGGAAGTCAAATTGTAGGCAAAGAAATTGCTCACAACTTTATTGAGGAAGGCATGTTGGGAAGTGGAAGCCAGATGGCATGCCCTAAACATCAGGTGGAAGGGTTCCACACTATAAACCCGGACTATTTGCTGAAATACTGGAAAAAAGAACGATTTTCCAAGTTAAAACAAATTGACGAATCCTACATTATGCATATATAGTTGGTTCCTATTAAATGACTGATTCCACCTCCGATGTTTTGCACGTCCGTGTTTACTTTGAATTGTTCTATTGACTTTTGAGCTTGACTTCTGTTCGTTATATCTACCCATTTCCTTACTCTTTTGAAATATGCTAATGAACTTGTTTATTATGTTTTGAGGGGTGCTAATGCAACCATCTACTCCCTATATTCGTAAACATACTTGTTTTTCAGGTTTCTTGAAAATAATTGTAATTTTGTTTCTCGAAAAAGCTGTTTAAGATTCAAAATCAATATTTGAAAAAAAAAACTGTTTAAAACAAATTCTAAGGAAGGTGTGAATAATTCTTTTTCAAACAAAAGTGGTTCACATGAATTCCATGTGAGTTCTTAAAATGAGAAAGAAATGAAAAACAAAAATTTTAGTAATATTTGAAAACTTCAAATGGTTTTGGAAAGACTTCCATATGAATTTACAAGAAGAACATTTTGCAAAAAAAGTCGCTCAAGAAATCTTCAGCTGAAATTTCTAAGGAAATTATTTGAATATTATACCAAAGTATTCACGTGAAATGCACATAAAAAAAGAAAAGATTTATATTATATGTGGCGTCGGTAGTCCAGTGGTTAAGGTGCCGGACTCCAAACCGAAAGGTTGCGAGTTCGAATCCTGGCCGCGACAAGCCGACGTTGTGTCCTTGGGAAAGGCACTTTACACGAATTTCCTCACTCCACTCAAGTGTAAAACGAGTACCTAGCTATAGACAGCAAAAGATATTGTCAGAATGTTAGTGCTCTAGCGCTGATAACGGCAGCTTGCACTGAGAAAGATTCTGGATTGTTAAGGTCTGCCGGGGTAATAATGCATTGTAAAGCGCTTTGAGTAGCATTTATGCTAGAAAGGCGCTATATAAATACGATCATTATTATATTAACTCTTTGCCCCTTGCGCTGTCTGTGACGTAAAAGTAGCATTACATTTGTTACTTTTTGATGACGTTATCCTTTTCCCCGCAGCGCCCTTGCGATTACGTGCTGAAAAGACGTGTTTTTGAGGATTCATTAACACGGTGTAAGTAGCAACTGTTGTCGTATATATCGCCCAAATATTTATACTATCATCTATAAAATGAATTTAAGTATTTTGATGATGGTTTAATTCTGTTTATTTTGTATCAATACTTCTTTATGTTGACTTTTACAAACTTCATGTTTTATCATTATTTATTAGTAATTTATTTTGAATTTTAAATCTAAATCGAAAACTTCTTTCAAAATAATTGTTTGAGTTTCCATTCAGGGTGTCATTTTTATGCTAGGTTAAAATGACAGAGAGCAATAAATGCCCCTCCCCCCTTTTTTAAATTCTTCAGTAACATGCAT